GCTTTTGGTGTACTGTGGAGAGGGTAAAACTGTTTTTAATGGCAGGCTAGCAGTTACCGTTGACTCGCCCTGGACGAAAATTTTTGAAAATTGTCTCCGCTGATAAATAACACCCAGGCTAACTTGGAAATGAGGTCCGATGTCCAAAATCCTTTTGTGAATTTGATTAATTTTTGTGAATCCCAATTTATTAATTTGGAATAATGCAACAATTCTATCCCCATAGGTGTGCACCAAATCCTGCGCCATCGTCCTGTCAGTCATCTCTCTTTACTCTTGTCATGTGATCAGTGAAATCTGACTCCTGCTGCTGTGTATTGCGATTCTGCAGCTCATGTTGTATTGAGCAGAGAAGACGCTTTCGGTTTATAATTATAGCATCCGTTGTCCAACTGAACTAAATGGTTCTTATGTGTGTAAAAAAAACGGCAGTGGGGGCGGCGCCACGGTGGGCAAGTAATGTAATCGGGCGGGCATTGCAACACCCAAAACACCCTTGAATCTTGCCTGTGAATTTTACACAGTCCTTTTTTTCTTCAAGAAAAAAAAAAAAAAAATCAACCATCTGTTCACACACACAGCACCCTCCTTCCATTTACCAAGATATCTTTTTTTTTTCTAAATCACAAAATAAATCCCTATGTTTTAAAGCAGTTATAGACGGATATTCTGAACTAGCACTGAACACAGCAGGAAGAACAGACTGTTTGGAGAACACAGGGGAAGGGGAGAGTAAATGTTCAAACAGCAGGGCTCCGTTCCAAACACCTCTGCAGTACCACGGGCACCAGGTCCCAGAGTCAGACCGAGCATTTGAAGTTTCTGCAGATGAAAACTTCTGAAAACATGGACTTCTCCTCCTCCTCCTCTCTGTAGAACCATTCCGGAGGTCTCCAGTGCTCTCGTTCAGACCTATTGATAAATCACTTATATCATCTGGACTGTTTTTTTTTACATGCAGCCTGAAGCTGAAGGCTTTACTGTAGACCATTACAGATGAGTTACTGCTGCCACACTCTCCTTCTATCCAACAGATCAGATGGTTTCTGCTGCTACACTCTGAACCAACCATCATCTAGTGCTCCTGATCTACAGGATATTATCGTTTTTGCTGGGGGCTGCAAAAATCGCACAGCCTACACATGAATTATTAAAGATCATAAAAAGAACAGTGTTAAAGCGAATCCCAATTTGAGATTACACTCTTTCTTCTAAGTCAAATTGATTGCTGTTTCCTTAGAGAACGCAGCTATAAAACATTCATATTAGATGTTCACTGCACATCTTGTTTCGGAATTAATAGCAATATGTACCTGACCCAGCAGATGAGTGCTTTTGTAAAACCAAACTGTGTGTTTTTCTAAAGAACATACAGATGAAAGAAGCTGTTCACCAACGAATAAAACAATTAAGTACTCTACTCACTGACTTTCTTCTGTTGAACACAAAAACAGATGTTTAGCAGAATGTTCACAATGCTCATTTCCAATTAATAATGTAAACGGATGCTGTCGAGTTTCAAATATCTAAAAAAAAACATGAGGGTGAGGAAATGGTGGCATCACTTTCATTTTTATCATTTTCAAGGTTTAGCTTTAACCTCTTAATGTTAAAACAGTCTTGATCAATTCGCTGCTTAAAGGGATAGTTCACTTTGAAATGAATTTTTGATATGTTTTAGCTTACCTCAAGTGCATCCAAGATGTAAGTGTCTTTGTTTCCACAGAATCTTCAATTTTGATATTTTTAGGTCAGACCGTGTCAGTCATATAATGGAGGTCTATGGGGTCCACCTCAAAGAGCATGCACAGAGAAGTCCAAATTAAACATGATTTAATGACTCATAAATGTAAGTACACATTGATGGCCTAAAACACGAAATGAGCGGTTTGTGTGAGAAAACAAACAGTATTTATATCGTTTTTACATCTTGTAACCACAGCCACAAAGCGCCCGCGTCCTCAGATCACTTGGATGTGGCTGTGGTTACAAGAGGTAAAATCAAACCGCTCGTTTCATGTCTTAGGCCACCAATGTGTACTTACATTTAGGGGTCATTAAATCATGTTTAATTTGGACTTCTCTGTGCATGCTCTTTGAGGTGGACCCCATAGACCTCCATTATATGACTGACAGACACAAATGATTTGACTTAAAAATATTAAAATTGAAAATACTGCAGAAACAAAGACACCTACATCTTGGATGCACTTGAGGTAAGCTAAAACACACCAAAAATTAATTTCAAAGTGATCTATCCTTTTAATACCACAATCCAAGCACAACCTATTTGAATCTACTTAACTCATATTTTTATATAAAAAAAAAAAAAAACACACATTTAAATTCCTGATGTTGATTAAATTAATCAACATAGACATTTGGCATTACTTCTGATTGTTTGATTCATTAGTCCAAAATTGCTTTATAGAATTTTTTATTTATTTACTTAGCACAGTTTCGTAGCTAATTAAAAAAGTGTCCGCTATTATCAATAGCCAGGAAGAAAGCTAGGTTGGAAATGGTCAAGTTCACAGAGTTTACAGAGAACTAATGTTACATTAAATATGAAAAACAACCTCCCGAGGGCACTAATTTGTAGATAAGTGTCTATTTGCTAGTTACAAGTCCGAGGCCGTGACACAAGGTCAGCTGAACACTGAGAGCGTTCTAATAGGATATGCTGAATTTTTTTATGCAAAACATCATCCTACTATGTGCGGTGGACATATTTCTCATTAATCTGAAATAAGAACAAGCCAATATGATTCAGGTTGCATTGTTCAGTGGCACACACACACAGAGAGAGAGAGAGATCTCAAGGCCAAACAAATTCAAGTCCAAAGCGATTTTGTGCTGAAGTGACCTTCTGTTTCTATGTATCTATCATTCATTCACTCCATCTCTTTTATGTCTCTCCCCATCCCCTCACACACAAAATGCAACCAGTGTTGTAACTGGTTTCGTGGAGCATCAAAGGAGATGTTCAGTAGCATATCTGAGCTGCTCATTTCCTTACAATTAAAGCAGATGGGGGCTTGGACTGTTGAGCTAAAAAAAAAATTGTAAGAAACATCATAAAGGTAGTCCATTTCTAAACTTGCCTAGTCACCATTCAATTTCATTGTACGGAAATTTGATGTTCTGTTACAAATAACTGTTTTTGTGGCAATTGAAAATCATATACAGGTGAGAGTGAATAAATGATGGCAGATCTGGTCCTTTAAGACCAGTACAGAAAGATCGGATCGTTTCAGATCCACAAGCAAACCAAAATGCGTGTGTGTGTGTAATAGACAGTGACAGGCCCGGAAAGAATATCTGCCCTAGATTCAGTGTTTTAGATGTTTTCTGTGTGATGTTTTATTAAAGTGAGGTTGGATATGCTGACAGAGACACAACAGGATGCCTGACACTCCCTGAATCTCTCACTCTCTTAAAGGTCAGTCTGTGGAAAGTGGCGTTCCTTTAACATGTTTTCATCCAAAATATCAGTTTATTTTAGACAAAAAATCTGGTTTATTTATTAAAAAAACTGAGAATATATGTTTAATTTTTTTAGGTACATTTAAAAACTATCCTGCACTATTCTCAGGACTTCGACATGTATATATGTATATACTGTATGTTTGAGTATGTTGTCACATGCTGTATGCTTCACATTTTAAACTCAATTTAATGCTTTCTCTACATTGTTTAGCAATACTTATTTCATATTTCAAAAAATAAACAAAAATAAAAATTTAAATAATTTTAAACAGCAGGTTCCTGATGTGACAATTTGTTCAAAAATTAAAAATAAATCAATAAATAATGATGAAAACAAATAAAACTACCCTGAGAAATATTCACTAGAGTAAAAAGTGTAACAAACAGTCTGGGTCTCCTCTGCTTATTTATATGATGTGATTATTTTTGGTATCAGGATTCATGCACCATTCATTCACCAATGACGTGTTTTGCACCTCTTGCTGTGTCATGACTACTCACTGGCATGGCATGTCTATGTCTGTGAACAATATACTCGTCCTGTCATACTGCACTGTAAAAAAAATATTGTTGGTTTAACTTAAAATTTTAAGACAACCAGGTTACTTACTTTTTTAAGTTCATTGAACTGGAAAAGTGAGTTAATACAATGAAGGAGAATGATTTAATCATCAGAAACTCAAAATTATATGTTATCTGAACTAAATAAATTATTTAAGTTGATTTGACAAAAGAAAAAAGTGTTGTGATTACTACACTGTAAAAAAAAATATTGTTGGTTAACTTAAAAAGTAAGTAACCTGGGTTGCCTTAAAATTTTAAGTTGATTGAACTGGAAAAAGTGAGTTAATACAATAGAGATTAATTTCATCATCAGAAACTCAAAATAATAGGTTATCTCAACTAAATAAATTATTATAAAGTTGATTTGACAAAAGAAAATTTGTTGTGATAACACATCTTGAAAATATTTTTTTACAGTGTGCCAGATAGTATTCGGTATAGGCTAATTGCATCAAAGTTCCGCCGATCACAACACGGGGGCGCTAGAGTCATTCAAATGCACACTGAGTTAATGCACTTGCGGCACTGGATGTGCATCGTTCTCTATATCATTTTCTTTTCTCTAACAAACCGTCTACGCATGTGCATGATAAATATTTACATATGATTAAGGCTACAATAAAGATATTTCAACCACATATGCTCCATATGTTTCCATTTATTTCAGTCGTTGAGAAATAGCTTTTGTAACTGTTTCAGTTGTTTGTCTGAAAAACACAGATAAAATTGACTTTTGCAGGATGCTTTTAAAATAATCCTTCAGCTGTGTGTTTAAATTTCAAAGGTGTCAGTAATTTATGACGTTACAAACTAAACGCTCGCGAACAGAAGATGCGTTTAAATATACCTGATTTAAATATACCACGGAAAAACATTAGTGATTTGTTAAAAAAAAAATAATAATAATAAAAAGAAATAAAGAAGTTGAAACTTTACTGTGCTTAAAGACAACTTTGGTGGCTTGAGAATGAAAATAACCCCACGACTGTGCCACGAAAATGATGTCTTCGTAATGCACACTGGTGACAGTTGAGGGTAAATAGGCTAATGGGAGGATATTAAAAGGGAGAGCGAGAGAAACGTGATCATTCACTCCCGTTGTCCTGGAGTAGAGCGTGACATTGGGATGTTTCGTTTACAACCTTCTTGTGCGCGTGGCTTTGACTATATCGGGCCATTAACGCAATCCGGTGCCAAGTGCAAATCCCCGGTGGCGCGTCTCGTGAGCACAGGGGCTTATATAGAAGCGCGTGGCGCCTCCTCCTTTCTCATCCATGGAGAGCGGTCGGCGTGTGCAGTTGTAATCCATCCATAGTAATTCACTTGCGTTGGGAAGGCGTACCAATAAGGGCGTGAACGCACACAAAAGAGACTCGGATAACAGAAAAGACACCAGACGGGACCAGTGCGGAATAGAGGGTCATCACTGCTCGGTTCCCATTACTTCAACCACACCGGACTCCTTTTAACCAACGAAATAAAGATGAGCACCATGAGACCGTCCGAACCGGGACCGTTAGAGGAGATGATGCGGATGATGGTGATGCACGAAGCGCTTACGGGCAGCGATGCTCGCCGTTATGGTTCCCGGGTGGCTTGTGAAGAATGAGAGTTTGGGTCAGTGCGCACAGAGATGCCGGTGCCTTTGCTGAAGATCGGTGTGGTGCTCAGCACCATGGCCATGATCACCAACTGGATGTCCCAGACTCTGCCATCACTGGTAGGGCTCAACACCACCAAGCTGACCGCAGCGCAGGGCGGCTATCCGGACCGGAGTATAGGAGTAAGTGTCGGGTTATTTTCCTTGAAAATTCAAACGAAAAGTTCAGATAGTAATTAACCCAACATGTGAAGAAACAGAAAAAAAAAAAAACATTCGCGCATACAGCAGTGCGAATCAAATCCGCGTTTTTTGGCGACATTTAAGGGGGCGTTCACACGGGGGCGTAATTCGTGTGCATTCTATAGTATTATTTTATTTTAATTTTCGAATGGCATGGGTCTTGTGTGCGCGCCTCCTTGCGCGTTCGTTCTCGTTTTCAGAAAGTGGCGTTGTCCTGGAATTTCGAACGCTTAGCTCATACATCAAATGTATAATGTTGTCGCTTCGAATATGAGTGTTCTATTTCGCCCTATTAAACTTTCGCCCTATTTTAATGAACCATTTTTTTTTTTTGCGATTTTACTAGAATAAGATGCAGTGCATTTGAAAAAGTAAAAGAGGTCTATAGCAAGCTTAAAAAGGCAAACTTGACAACTTATATAGTCTCTGTTGCGTTCAAATATGAGAACATTTTTGTGTTCAAACAGCTGAATATAACAAAGTATATCACCAACATTTATAAGCGAAGTTGTATAGTTCTTCCACAGTTCTGTCACTTGTTTCACGTAATACAGTTTAAATGGGCAATTTGAATATAACTTCTAATTAACAAATATAAAAAGACTGCAAATCAGATAAAATCAAAGTCTATTTGCAGTGTGGTAATATTCAGCACTGGTTTGGAGATTTAGGACTCTCCAGACCTGCATCAGTGATGCTCATCAACCCTCCATCTGTTCCTCACTCTCACCAGCTCCACACACACACACACACACACTGTGATCGGATCTGGATCTGTAACACGAGTTCAAGAATGGCACATCTGAATGGGATAAGATCCCTTCACTCAAACAGCTGTCAGTCAAATACAACCATAAAACTGTGTGTGTGAATGAGACTGATGGTAGTAGATGTAATGCTGCTGCATTCTGATTGGTGGGTGCGGATATGGGCGTGGTCTGATCTGATGTGGCAGGGCAGATGGGGTTTTGTGTAATCTTGTGTCAAGTGTTTGTGATGAATATGGGACTATAACCTTTAGATGTTATAACACTGGTATCTCCTTTCTTTCTCCTCTCTCACAGGTTTTACCCGCTAACCCAGAGGAGTCATGGCAGGTGTACAGCTCGGCTCAGGACAGCGAGGGCAGGTGTGTCTGTACGGTCGTTGCACCTCAGCAGACCATGTGCTCGAGAGACGCCCGCACCAAACAACTCCGCCAACTACTGGAGAAGGTGACCCCCGACCCATAATGCTCTACTGCGTTGCCCTTGGGCATCACGTTACCTTTAATGCAAAGTTGCCACAGACACCGAATCTATGACAACCAGAGTTTTCCTCCAGAGATCAAAGTGACCTAGAGGCATGAGCCTAACAACTCATTGACAACAGTATCAAACACACAGAGTTAATGAGTTCCCCTGGAACACGACTGGAGCAGAGGCAAACAGCCTTTCGTCAGATAGACAATGATGCAATTCCTCGGACACCATCAAATCATTAGTAGACGTGGAGTAGCTGCAGATCTCGCTAGTTTACTAAAGGTCACTAGATTCATTATATAGATAGATGAATGTTTTTGGAATACTTACATTTAGACGTTTCTTGAAAACGAAATGATCATGATCTCAATATCTCTAATAACTGTATGTTTGTGTGTGCGTCTGTGCGTGTTTTTAGGTGCAAAACATGACGCAATCAATCCAAGTATTGGACCAGCGGACCCAGAGGGACCTGCAGTACGTGGTGAAGATGGAAGATCAACTCCGCGGCCTGGAGACCAAATTCAGGCAGGTGGAAGAGAACCACAAACAAAACATCGCCAAGCAATACAAGGTAAACACACAATTATATGTAAGCAATGCACATATTTCACATGAATCCACACATCAGCCCATGTGGAGACAGCACACTGCATGCACACCTTAAATGCTTGTATGATTTTTGTGAAATGTGCAGACCTGTCTGATTCCATAATATTTGCATTTTTTTTGTAGATTAATTTTAATACGAATATTTATAATAGTATAATAATAATAAAAGCGAGTGAAACTATAATCAAACAATAATAAAGGATCTGCACATTTCAGTTCCTACAATGTAGCATATAACCAAAACGTCCCGTGACAGACACTTGAATCGTGACGCATGCATGGAATGTAATATTATAACACAAGCGTGCGTGTGCAAGTACATGAGCGGGTGCGTGTGTGACTGTGAGAACACGTGAATGTGATAGATAGGTTAGCGAGTTAGCTCCCTGTGCTGAGTGTGTTGTTTCTTGCTTGCAGGGCTAACTATAAAGACATGATAGGAGAGCCAGAGGCCAGAAGACGCAGGTCTAACCCACGATTGGCTGAAGTGGGCGTCAATCATGCTGTTTATGTCACGATTCTCATATTCTATATGACATTAGCTGTAAGAAACACTCCTCCCCCTCCCTTATCCAACCACCAATCAGATCTCCTCCTGCATGCTACTCTAAAGAATTGTTACGTTTTATTTATATGATCTACATTATTTAGTTTCATTGATATATTGCTATTATTATTATTACTACTATTAGCATTATTATCTCATCTTTGCTAGTGTTGCTTAAGGTTTTTTTTTTATTCCTCTTATTATTTGTCACTATGAATCTTTTGTTTTTGAAGTAATATGCGTTTTTGAAGTAAGGAATTTAATCTTAACATCACATTGTTGTATGTGAGTTGTAATTTCAGCATGTGTCCCTTTCTGCTGTTGCATTCTAAACGATAACTAATAAAGTCTTTTCCCAATTGTTTACCGTGTTCAGAGCGCTTCATTTCGTCGATAAATGTTTGGAGATCTATCATTTTGATACGAATCTCTATAGTTTGACTGCAGCTCGGCCTCTGGTCTCTCACTGGCTCTACAAGCACGCACGCACACGCACACATACGCACGTTTTATGGGGACTTTCCATAGACATAATGATTTTTATACTGTATAAACTGTATATTCTGTCCCCTAACCCTAACTCTATTCCTAAACCTATCCATCACAGAAAACTGTCTGCATTTTTACATTTTCCAAAAAACATAGGCTACACTTAGTATGATTTATAAGCTGTTTTCCTCCTGGGACCCAAAATGTCCCCACAAGTCAAGGATTTTGGATATTGCCATCTTTGTGGGGACATTTTGTCTTCATAGGGTTTACCAGGACCACACACACTCCTCAAAATAAACATTTTTAATGGTTCATTGCTATAAGAACATTTTAAAAAGTTCATCAGATCAACATATTGGTTAGCACCAGTATACACTACATGGCCAAAAGTATATGGACATCTATTTAAAGGATTTTCGTCTACAACATCACTAGCTTATATAAAAAAGAAAAAAAAGTATATTATGGAAATATAACTTATAACCAGGAATATAATCAAGTGCGGACTGAATGTAATGTGTTTGGACACTGAATAACATGTTAATTGCGATTAAATGAAAACATATTAATAAGTTTAAATTTAAACCCAAAGTACATTATATGTAATTTCAGAATTATTTCCATAGTATTTGAAATATGCTTAAAGAAATCTGCCGAATGTACTAAGAAGCACTGGTAAACTAAAAGATACTTTAATGAAAAGTCATTTGTAATGAGGAAATTGCAATTTTGCCCATTCAACACATCAAAACAAGTCCTTCTCATTCCCGCAACAAAAGATTATTAAAACAGAATGATTCAAAAAGTCAAATTCAAGAAGTAAAACTTTTGACAGTATTAAAAAGTTCAAAGTGTGTTCAAACATATCTTAAAGCACACTTCTATTTTTACAAGGATCTGGAAGAAGGGGTCTGTTTTTGCTCTAGCGAGGTTCAAACTTTTTTTTTATACATCTAGTTGTCTGACACGGACGAAACTTGCACGTCACAAGAAGATCTTTCGCATTCACCCAACCTGACCTCACCGATGCTCAGGAGCAAATCCAGGCATCCGCATCCCAGAATCTAGAAAAACCTTCCCAGAGGATTGATTCAAAGATGTTATACAAGCAAAAGAATGACTAACTCATTATAAATGCTAATGGTTCTGAAATGAAAACATATTGGTATGGTGTGTGTCCATATACTTTAGGGCATATATAGTGTTCTATATAAAAAAAAAAACATTTACTTTTAAAAGTTTCACACAGATTGATGCACACACCTTCACACTGTTCAACATCAAGGCCACTGTAGACAGCGAGGGTTCAGACAGGCTTCACAGTGTACAAGCAAGCCAGATTTTCCAACTTTCCCCACATTACGTATTTGCAGGCCATAAAGGCAAAAATGGCGGAGCTGCGTCCGCTAATTCCCGTGCTGGAGGAGTACAAGGCTGACGCCCGACTGGTTCAGCAGTTTAAGGAGGAGGTGCAGAACTTGACGGCCAGCCTCGGCCTCCTCCAGCAGGAAATGGGAGCCTACGACTACGATGACCTGCACTCCCGCGTGGTTAGTCTGGAGGAGCGGCTACGCGCATGCATGCAGAAGCTCGGTAAGACACACACATACACATACTAATGTTTACTCAACATGGTCTAAGCGAGCAGGACATGATCCTGGATTAACATCGTTCTGGAATTCTGAGTGTACACAACAAGCTAAATCTACATTTCTGCCATAAACTGCAAAAAAACATTTTTTCACAACATTTTTTCTTTTGTCAAATCAACTTAAATAATTTATTTAGTTCAGATAACTTATTATTTTGAGTTTCTGATAATTAAATCATTCTCTTTCATTGTATTAACTCACTTTTTCCAGTTCAATCAACTTTATATATATATATATATATATATATATATATATATATATATATTCATACAACAAAGTTTTCCGAGGATCATGAAAGTGTTTTGAAAATGAAAAAAAAAACAACAGATCTGGTTAAACCAGTACACTTGTTTTTATATTTGACAAATTTGTGGATAAAGATGAAACCCGCACTCTCTAGATATATCTCATATCTTTTTTATTATTACCATGTCCACGCTGACGATATGGCTTAGGCTGTAACGCGTCTATGTGGACATGGTATTAATAAAAAAGATATGAGAAATAACTAGAGAGTGTGGTTTTTCATCTTTATTTGATAAACTTCTTTATAACTCTATAACTTTAAGTTGCGCGCCTGTTTTCAGCACTAATTTGTATCATCTCATTTGTACGTGTTTACGGGAGTGTTTATGTTCATGGGTGAACCTTCATGTATACTTTGTTTTTGATGATTCAAAAATCATCATTACATCATCATTACATTCATACCACCGTGTGAAAATGGTTGTTTTCTCATAAGATCAGGTAAAAATACTGTGTAAAGTTAAATCCAATTTTATATTACTGTAAAAAATAGGGATTTCAACAGACTTACGGCTCATATAACTTTGAACCTATTTTTAGAACTAATGTTACCACATAATGTTTGGAGAGTGATAAAACGGAACATTTGTAAAATCAAGAAAAAAAGTTTATTTTTTAAAAAACTGGACATTTGGAACATTCAAAAAATAATGTTTTATAATAACGTAATGTTCACGTTAGCCAAATATTCTTCACATTCATATTTTTGTCTCTTAGTATGTCAGCTATTCTCTCTCGGATACTTAAATGAAGCACAACATAGAACTCTTGACAAGTCTCTTGAGCTATAAAAGAGCGAAATTATGCATGCACTATCACAGCTCCACTTCCCAGCATACACACACATCGGCATCTTTTCTCTGGTGAATATCATCTTTCTCTCTTCTGTCTGAGTTTCTGGAAGAGAAATCTGGGCCAGTTTCACTGTACGATCAATATGGCCTTAAAACAGCTGATTTATTTCTGTTTCACATACACTTGAGCTTCATCCTTGTGTATCGCTTCTGATGAATATAAAGCCTTCACGGGTAAACCAAAGGAATTTTCCATTTTCCCATGTAAAATTTCATCCTACAAGCGAACGCAATCACTCACATTTACATCAGAAATGTAAAAATACAGTTCACGTCTGATTTCACATTCAAATATACAGTAAATCCTCAAATTCCATTTTGATTGAATAAAAAACACATGGATTTAAAAAACACTCCCACATGCGCTCACATGTGAAATGCATGTTTTCTATTTGACAAAAAAGAATCAATAATCATGCACATTGTTCCATTACATTGTGTAAGAAGATTGCGTAAGACGATTGTGTATTTTTCTGCAGTTGGAGTGAATCGGGGCTTTATTCTAAAGATAGTAGTGTAATAATTTAGCCTTGTGTGTCCCTCCAGACAACAGATTACAGCTCAGTGTGTTAATCTCAAGCATGCGTGTGTGTGTTGAATGGGAGAGGCTAAGCAGGAAAATACACCATGATTAATACACTGCACTATCAACAACACAGGATGTCAAACATTTATCTTACGTTTTGCCTGTACATTATTCTCTCTCTCTGTCACAGAGACAAAAAACATATGTATTCATATATCATCCCTTTATTTACTGCAAGTCAACATGAACATGTATCTTATTGTGACCAACTAAATGTTGTAAGTCGTTCTAATGCAAGTTTGTCTTTATAATCTTTCACTCAAATGTATATGGGTTGGGATTGCCATTTCATGTTGACTTGAAGAAATAAAACACTGAAGAAGTGAAAAGAGGTAGAAAAAGTTGAAAGATCATAATAAAAATCAGTGTGACTCAATTGAAGTCATTTAACCAGAACCTTCATTCCAAGATATAAGATTACCACAGCAATTAAGACTGTATTAGACTCATCACAACATCACTAAACTCATTAAACATGTGTGTAACTGTAGAAAGTGTGTTTGAGTGTGAATATGTGCGTGTAATTAAACGTATGTTGTGTGTATTGCAGCTTGTGGTAAGCTGACCGGCATTAGTGATGCAAACACTATTAAAACATCCGGGTCTCGGTTCGGATCCTGGATGACGGACCCCCTCGCTCCTGAAGGAGACACTAGGGTGAGTAAAAACAATTACAGGCTTCATATACAATTTTACATTTATTGAGTTACTGTTGTCTCCTCCCACATCAACATTTTCAGACACAGTACTGACGCTCACTGGATATTTAAACATGACATCGTGACTTTTGTGTAAACATACACGCCACTTTCGAGTCAAGTGGCGTGTTATCTCTATGCATTTTGTGCTATCCGCGTGTATCCGCGTGTATGTCTACGCCATTAACGTTCGCGTCATTCCGCCGTCAAATGTCCAGTCATAAATGCCATTAACCCCAGTGACGGTTAAGTTTAGAGATGGGGTTGAGGTAAGTCATATATTTATATAACGTTAAGTCAACGGCGTTCATAAACACGCTGAAAAGCGATTATGCGTCTTGATAGCACGCCAAAAATGGAAATGCGAATTAGCGTGTCATAAACACGCTACTTCATGAAATCAGTCTGGATAGTTTCTCTTTTTCGGACCATTCTCTGTAAAATCTAGAGATGATTGTGTGTGAAAATTCCAGTAGATCAGCAGTTTCTGAAATACTCAGACCAGCCCGTATGATACCAACAACCAAGCCATGTTCAAAGTCACTTAAGTCACCTTTCTTTCCCATTCTGATGCTCAGTTCTGACTTCAGCAGATCATATTGATCATGTCTACATGCCTAAATCCATTGCTGACTGGCTTATTACATATTTGTGTTAACGAGCGGTTGAGCTGGTGTAACTATGTGGCTGGTGAGTGTATAACGAAAGAAAGATGGATTTTGATATAGCACATTCACTCACCTAAAGGATTATGAGGAACACCAGACTAATACTGTGTTTGACCCCCTTTCGCCTTCAGAACTGTCTTATGTGGCATTGATTCAACAAGGTGCTGAAAGCATTCTTTAGAAATGTTGGCCCATATTTATAGGATAGCATCTTGCAGTTGATGAGAGATCTCTCCAGAGATTTGTGGGATGCACATCCAGGGCACGAAGCTCCCGTTCCACCACATCCCAAAGATGCACCATTGGGTTGAGATCTGGTGACTGTGGGGGCCATTTTAGTACAGTGAACTCATTGTCATGTTCAATGAGAAACCAATTTGAAATTATTCAAGCTTTGTGACATCATGCTGGAAGGAGCCATCAGAGGATAGGTATGGTGCCCATAAAGGGATGGACATGGTCAGAAACAATGCTCAGGTTGGCTGTGGCATTTAAATGATGCCCAATTGGCACAAAGGGGCATAAAAGTTTGCCAAGAAAACATCCAACACACCATTACACCACCACCACCAGCCTGCACAGTGGTAACAAGGCATGATGGATTCATGTTCTCATTCTGTTTGCACCAAATTCTGACATTCTTTCCCATTCTGACATTCTTTTTGGAGTTCAGGAGATTGTCTTGACCAGGACCACACCCCTAAATGCAGATTAGACAATTGCAGAAATTGAACAGATGTTCCTAATAATCCTTTAGGTGAATGTAAATGTTCAATGTTTTTATTCAGAACGTAAATGTTTCCTACGGGAAAAGTTGAACTGAAACATTTGTATGTATATTTTGCATTTCTTAGTATTTGGTAATGAATATAAGTGTAACTTCCTTCTATACAGGATTCATTTCTGATATTCTTTAGAATGCAGATAGTGGAGGATATCTGGTTAATTTATGCCTGCAGTAAAAACCCACGAGCACATAGCTGCAGGCAACCGCTTTATAACCATGTTGCTTTAGAACCATCAAGATATAGCACAGAAAAACAAACCTCAAGGCCGAGCCGTCATACAAAAATGCAAATATACACCGCTTGAGGAAAAACTTGCACAGAAGTTAAATGGCACAATGAAATTCTTCACACCCAAATTCCTCATCTAAATATTAAGTCCATCATCAGGATCAGTAAAAATCTTTAAAAGTCTTTCGTTCGATTTCAGCTTCAACGAATTAAATCAAAAAAATATATTTGAATAAAGACGAAACACTTCCTTTTACTGTATATAGTAAAATAATATACATGGGAAAGAACGAATCAAAAAAAGAACCAGTTCATACCAAGCATTCGTTTACTAGTCGGACATCTGTGGAGTTGAAGCCAGGTCACTAACACTCACAGCGGCACAAGGGGAAGATAAGCGAGGCCAAATAATTTCCCACTCATCCAGACATGAAGTGCTCCGGTGGGGCTCGTAATGGAGGGAGCAGGGGGGCTCCTGATAACGGGTGGAGGTTAAAACACTGCAGACTGTGCTGGATGAATGAGTGCGGAAATGAGCATGAGATGTTCCTGATGATGGCCTGTGTGCCGATTCCAGGCCTAATCGTTTCACAGGCCTTTGTTTAAGTGAAAATCGTGTTTGGTGATGTTGTGTGGCTCAGAAGTGTGCTATCATTTTTGGGTTCCATGGCATTGTGTTCAAAGATCTGGGCCGGTTACAAATGTTATAGGATGTTTTATGAACTCCCGTGGCCAGAAACGTAACCCCAGGTTGCAAGAGATTGTTCCTGTAATAAATATCCTGCAAGCGGTTTTACATAAAAGTTTGGGCTAAATGACAAATTGGCAATTAGCAGTTGGCATCCCAGAGCTGCACATGCTTTAATTGGTGCGTTTGTAAGAAGTTTCTCAGCAAATAGCTTTGCCAGTTCTCGATGAGAAGTTCAAAATCACTAGTCCTAGTTTCACAAGCATCTCTTTTGTTTCATGTGGAGCCAAATGACTTCCAGCTCTCCCTCTCTAGATGTAATTGGTGGAGCTGCACCTCTGTGGACCTAATGGGCAGGGCTTGACCTAATTATGTTCAGGTTCCATTATTCATAGATGCCACCTACGTCACTACCAAATAGAACGCCGCCATATTTACGACCGATCTCACCCGGTATGGCCGTCCAAACTGCCCATTTGAATGAGAGAGAGAGAGAGACCTGGAGAAAATTGTAATTTTAGGCTCCGATCCTTATTTGTTACCCGCAGTTTTCTTTTGTCCATTATTATCTGCCCCAGACTCCATGATATAATATATTGTGCATAACCCTCCCCATACAGTGGGGGATCGCTTGAAGACTTTCAAGAGTACCGATACATATCAATATTTTGTGGCTGGATGGGGTAAAAGACGTGTAAAAGTGCAGCACCTGGCCACCAAGTATTTATATTCAATCATGGGAAATGTAGGTATTATAAAAAAACAATTAAAATGTATGATTTTAGTGGTAGTTTGCTTGAGTTGTTAGCTAGCTAAGTGGGTAACAGCTGGTAGCTTGCCAGCTGTTAGCCACGGCTCACGGCTAGCTGTCATTAATCTGGATTAGGCCTGTCGCAATAGTCAATAAATCAATTCATGGCACGATAAAAAAAAAAAAAGAGCTCAATAATTTTTCCGGCCGCGACAATTTCCATTTGCGTGCTTGTTTGTTTTCCTCGTCTCTCTCTTTCTCTACCAGAGAGACTGGAAGACAACTCTGTTTAAGACATATTTTATGTGAATACTCTCCAAAACGGACATTTAAACACAATGTTGTGTGTATTTGTCCATTCAGACATGAAACCAAGCTCAATTCATTACTCGCACGCTGTATACGGGTCTATCGCTGTCGGGTCAGGTTTGTGCGCACAAAGATGAGACATGATACAATATGAGACATGCAGCTCTTCACTTCAAATGACAGCAAACCACTTCTTTCTTCTAACCTTTTTTTAGTTTTTTATAGAATAAAATAACAGTTGTTGGGTGTTCCTCTTTTGGCTGTTGTAGTTGCCAACTGCACAACATATTGCAGACCGTCGGTCATAAAGATGGTGGCGCAAAGCTAAAGTGACGTTATGTGACCTGAAAGAATATTAGGGTTAGGGTGTGGCTAGATCTTCAAGCTCCACCAATTGGTTCTGCAGTGAGCAACCTCTCTTTAATTTGGCCATTAATGACAGTGACTACTTTTACATGCAGCCAATAACCCGTTCAAAACCAGGATATTAGCAATAACCCGGTCGCGAACGGCCATGTAAACACCGGCAAAAACCCGAATATGCTCATATCCCGGATTTTAAAATCCAGGCTATAATACCTGGGGTACCCCTTTTTTAACCCGATTTTTTTGAGGAATCTTGGTCTTACAAAAATATACAAAAATCCGCGTGCAGTATACCGAAGTAAACATGGCGAGACCAGGCAAGACACAGCACAGCATACTTTTGGAGTGAGGTCAGTAACGTTACCAGCATCAAACGCAAACAAAGGCGATCGCTATCTGCCCTGAACTATTCAAATCTGCGTGCTGCTGTTGTTGTTGTCTTTGGATACAGGAAGAAGAATCGGAAATGACGAATATTGCGTTTAAAGGTTGTCCGTACGTCTAGACACTAACCGCGCGTCACCGTTTACATCGGGATATTGCAATTCCATGTATACAGGAGAAACTCTCTCTGCTCACGCATGTAAACGGGTTATTCCTAATGTTTCAGAAACCCGAATAGTGACCTTAACCCGACCATAACCCGAAAATTGGCTGCATGTAAACGTAGACACTGAAACACAAAATCTGAATTTGGATGGTGAATACAGAGTTCATGCTAAAACAAGCAACTAAAAAAGATAATAGAATTACATCTATGATGTGAAAATCATCAGTGTTCACATACTATTAATCTTAGTTTACATGTTTAGATCTTCATGCGGCTGAATTTCAATTTACCATTATTGCTATACAGCTGACTATGAAATGTATTTCTATTATGTATGAATGCATTAAAAACAAAACAAATTAAAATGTGAAATATGCTGCATGAACATTTATTCAAAATTATTCATCTTGAGACTCGCAAAAGATTGTGTTGGAAAATTATTATTGTTTTTAAAAGATTAACAACAGTAATCTAAATGGTAAAACAGGGGAAAGGAGTATACAATTAAATATCCAATATCACCTGAATATATATATATATATATATATATATGAAGAGTTCAGATGCAAAAGCCTCTAAATGCCATTTGAAATTTTCTTCTTTAATGATGATTTTTTTATCAAACTTGTATATTGATGTTCAGTAATTTCACTTAAATAACAATTAATAGGCAATTATCATTGGCATTTAAGTGAAATTACTGAACTTAAATATACAAGTTTGATAAAAATCATCATTAAAGAAGAAAATTTCAAATGGCATTTAGAGGCTTTTGCATCTGAACTCTTCATATATATATATATATATATATATATATATATATATATATATTTAAATTAGTGATATCTGATACTAAAAAGTATTGTAGGCTAATTAAATGAATTTGCTTTATAAAATAACAATTTAATGACTTTGTTATTCAACTTTACTACTTTATTCTTGAAAGGCCATGTTATATTATGAATATATTCAAGTGAAATGTAGTTGTATTGTGCTTTTCATAAAATACATACAGTTTGAAAGCAGCTTAAAAGAAAATTGTGGTTAATGTTTATAATATCTTAGAGCTGGTGTAGTTATAGTTACATTTACAAGCAATCATTTATTTAAAATTTGTTATATAGTGGATATTACCCAAAGTATAAATGTATGTGTGCAGGACAGTAAAGCTGGACAAACTTATACATCCAATTTCATATAAAGAGTTTGTGTGTCATGCAGCAACCTTTAGCTGTGACTGTATTCACATTATAGTTTAGTTCTCATAAAGTAATGCTTTAATAGTGCCAATTGTGGAGGGAAAACACATCTAATACTGTCAGACATTTTGCAAAGAATTATGGTACCGCATACTGGAAAACATAAAAGAATAACAAATAGTCTAATATAAAACTACACTAGCAAATAAAAAAAATAGCCCATTGCAAAAGCGCATCCCAGACCTTTGATTAAAAAGAAAACAACACATATTCACCCAAGAATACACAATTACAAACCCAAAATGCCATTAAAGTGATGCTCTGCACAAACTAGTTCCTCCGAAACCCATAAACGCAATTATAAATCAGGCTAGTGAATATATAACCTTCCTTCACACCCACAGACCCGGTTTTAGTGCTTCCCCCCTCCCCCTCTTGTTCTGTTTTTCTCACACTTTTGGGTTGGAGGCTCTTGTTCTCAAAGATTGATGAGACCGGAGGCTGTATGTGTGAGACAGACAGAGCATGGAGTGTGAGAAACGTGTGTGTGTGTGGGAGTGAACAATAAGCAATATCTCAGAGCAGTTTTTTTGACTCTTGAAAGATAAAAAGCTTTGGCACAGCACCGTGTTGCTGTCAGAGTCAGAGATATAAAGCAGAGATGGCTCGAGTTCAATGTCTGCATGAGCACTGGGTTAAAGCCCGAACAAACACCCTGTGACCGACCAGTACGGTCAAATTTTAATGCTACACTTTATATTCTGATCATATTACTATTTGATATCTCCATCTTTTGACCATAAAGCTAAAGTGTCCAAGCATCACATGTTCAGCAATACTAGCATTTACTCTGCAAACACTATTACCATCAGAGAGGATTATTTACCATTTTTTTACAAATCCAAATGTTTACTTTTTTTAACATTAAATGTATATCTATTTTAGAGACGCACTGATAAATCAAACAATAATCATGTTCATCCTATATTATTGGCTGTCGGTATCAGCGGAGAAATTTAGCATCAGTGCATCGCTAATAGGGTTGGGAATCGAAAATTGATTCTGTGAACATCAGGTCAGGTCAGAAATCGGGTACTTGGTATAAAATAAAAAATGTGATTCCTCTTATCAATTCTTTTGTGTGCACTCAAGCGCAAGAAGAACTGCACACTGTTTCCTGTGCACAAAAAGGGGATTTTAAAGTGATTTTAAACTATTCAAGCACAAGAAAGAACCCTTTTTTTGCACTTGAACAAACAAAAATATGTCAAAATATCCCCGTAAATGTAAATATCCTCGGTTATGTCTTAAGTGAACATAAGTTGAGAAAGAAAACGTGTAACAGTATATTGGATCTGTGCAGCTCTTAAAGTGACAGCAGCCTAATATTCCTGCGGCTGTCTCTATCATAATGTTATAATCAAACAAAAGACGATGAGAATATTCACTCGCTGTTCTTGACTGAATATATATATATATATATATTTTTTTTTTTACCTGTTCCTGAAAACCTAAAAATCTTGAAACACTGTTTATTTCAGTCGTATCTTGTGTGATTGCCTGCTATTTATTTATTTGTTAGTTTTGAATACAATGAAATGTTTTGCAACAAGACTTAAATATTTTCTACCTTATTGGAATCAAAATTAGGAATCGATACACAGAACAGGAATAGTAAAATTTCAAAGGATACCCAACCTTAATCTCCAATAAATAAAACTATTAACTGTAAGTGAATTACCGGTAGTAACTTTATTTATATAGCAGCACATATAAATACAGAAAACCTGACCGACTTGATGAACAGAAATAACTATATTGCTTGTGTTGCTCACCCTTTGCCAACTACATCCAAACCTAAAGTTTGAAATGAAAACCTAGCCTAAAAATCTGTTTACAAGTTCTTTTGGGCCCGGAGCGGAAAAGAGATCTCTGATTCCAGTTCACAGCTGGCAGAGCATTTTATACCTGTACATTTTTTTTTTAAGTGTTATTTTGGAGTTAGCCAAAGGATGAACATCCTCAGCTGATTCTTGGCACTTCTTTTCACTCTTACGTTTATCTCGGGGGGTTATAATTTCCACTTCTGTCCAGGACTTGCTCTCAGAGAGTATGTTCTTTGTAAAGCTTTGGAACAGTTTATATTGTGAAAAATGTTGTTAAAACAATAAAATCGAATCAAATGTCACTAATGCAGTAATACATTGAACAATTGTGGCTGGATTTCAAAAGAAAGGGTTTGAAGTACGTTCCAACATGCAGAATGTATGTTGATTTATACAGTAGATGTTGTTGACTGCCTCGTGCCTCCTATAGAGAGCATACAGACGTCCCGCTGGGCCACGAGGCTCTGGAATATTCCATAAGCGTGACTGCTCCGTTTCCATTCGCTCACCAAGAGACAGAAGCCCCAGTCACGCTGGGAATTCTCAACGGAGAGTCGGCTTTTATCCGGAATGATCTGGAATTATCCCCATAGGGTTCGTAATTCCTGGCACACAGTAACTTCCTGGCTGTCAATTTTCACCGCCTGCGTTCTGCCACAGCCAGGGGAAGGATGGACACCTTCAGTCTGGAATTTAATTAAGACCTCGCTGAACACTTCCTGCTGTGCTGGCGAATTATGCCAGAACAAAAAAAAAAAAAATCCAATGCAAGCACGGACAGAATAAAGAACAACTTGACCCACTTTGATTAAATAGACTGTAGATTAAACTATATTTGAATTTTGATTCTGTGAATGTCAAGCCAGAATTTTGACCATTTTATACGTTGTTGTTCTATCTATCTATCTATCTATCTATCTATCTATCTATCTATCTATCTATCTATCTATCTATCTATCTATCTATCTATCTATCTATCTAATCTCTCTTACAGGCTTAAAGGCTTTTTAAGCCCTTTCAAACAAGAATATGTCAATCCAACATTCAAAGTGTGTCTTGATAGGAATTCAGATCCATAGTTCCTGTTTACCATCTCATATTTAGTTCAAATTTAGTTGAATTTGATTCACAACCCTGAGGAACATCGCAAAAACGTTTGCTGCATGTCGCGCCAACACAGGGAATGTTTTAGGAGACATTGTCCAGATGAGCAAACACTAAAACTGACATCTTCCAGATGAAAATGAATGCACACCTGGTCAGCCTGTTCTATCAGGGATGTGTCTCATTAACTCAACTGCTTGTATTGTAAGTGAATTATGTAAATGAATCACTTTCTCTCTCACTTCTGTTCAGGTGTGGTACATGGACGGTTACCACAACAACCGCTTCGTGCGGGAGTACAAGTCTATGGTCGACTTCATGACGTCGGACAACTTCACGTCTCACCGGCTCCCGCACCCTTGGTCCGGGACGGGTCAGGTGGTCTACAACGGTTCCATCTATTTTAACAAGTTCCAGAGTAACATGATAATCAAGTTTGACTTCAAGACCTCCACCATCAGTAGGTCTCAGCGTCTGGACAACGCAGGCTACAGCAACACCTACCATTACGCCTGGGGAGGACACTCCGACATCGACCTCATGGTGGACGAGGGCGGGCTATGGGCCGTGTACGCCACCAATCAGAACGCGGGGAACATCGTCATCAGCAAGCTCCACCCCCTGACCCTGCACATCATCCAGTCTTGGACAACCAATCACCCGAGGCGCAGTGCCGGGGAGTCCTTTATGATTTGCGGGACGCTGTACGTGACCAATGGCTACTCAGGAGGGACCAAAGTCTACTACGCCTACCACACCAACTCCTCAACGTACGAGTACATCGATATCGTTCTGCAGAACAAGTACTCGCACATCTCCATGCTGGACTACAACCCGCGAGATCGAGCTCTATACGCCTGGAATAACGGACATCAGGTTCTGTACAACGTTACTCTTTTCCATGTCATCCGCTCGGAGCAGCTGTAACCGTGGAGGATTTAGTTTGGAGAATCTGAAAGGAACAGAAAACTGAACCCAAACAATCATTTTTGAATGTTCTTCAACAGATTGTTACAACACTGCAAAAAAAAAAAGGAAAAAAAAGATGTTGTTCCTCAGAATTTTTGTCTTGTTTTTCAGTATAATTATCAAAACATTCTTAATACAAGATACATTTAGTTTCAAAATGACACTGGAAGATATAGGGCTCTATCTTGCACCCGGCGTAAATTACTTTGTACACTGGCGCATTTATCATTCCTATTTTGCACCCGCGCAAAGGGGGCTTTTCAAACTAGGGAATGAACTTACGCTCCCTGGGCGGGTTGGCGCAAAAAGGAGGCGTGTTTCGGCGCATACATTCCCTAGTGCTATTTTGCAGTTCCAGAAAACAATTGCACCACTGACCAGAAAAAACCTAGTCTAAAGTCAGTGGCGCATTGCGCGTACATTCAGATGCTATTTTAAGCACGCTTGAAATGCTCGGCCATAATACAATTATACAAAATATTTAAAAAAAACAATTATTATATGCATGTTTAACCAAAGCTAATTTGGGTGTGTTTGTCCCATCCCTAACGGCCCTGACGAGAACATCGATTTCCTCGGCTGTGAACCGATTGTGAAGCGCGCATGGTAAATGTGCCGTTATCAGTGTTGTAGTACTCGAGACTCGGACTCGGTCTCGGACTCGGTCTCGAGACCATATTTTAATGGTCTTGGTCTTGTCATGGACTTGTGTGCATTTGGACTCGGAATTGACTCGTACTCGAACATTTTTTTTTAGGACTCGGACTTATTCCCGAGTCCACTCGTGTTCAATTCAAAATATTTTTCATGATTATTAATCTATGTTAATAAAATATTTCTTTAAAATGATTGACACGCCCAGTGATTGGTGATTTTCTAGTGTGCAACTGCACATGACAAATTGTAATAAAATTACTTTTAACACAGCCTACTATGTGGCCTTTTTACCCTAAACTGATCATATTTTTTAAACTCTAAGTAAATTCAGTAAAAAAAAAAAAAAAAAAAAAGGATTTCTCTAAGTAAATAAAAGTAAATTAGGTAATCAACCCTCACTGGTCTCGGTCTCGACTTGGACTCGACCGTCTCTGGTCTCAGACTCGACTCGGACTCGATGGACTCGGTCTTGACTCGGACTCGAGTGAGGTGGTCTCGACTACAACTGGCCGTTATAATAGTATACTGCGCCATGGAACAAGCGCACCTCATTCATCATGCTCTTAAAGGGAATGTTATACGACGCTCTTATTGGTTTGTTTCCGTTACGCCCAAACCACACCTATGAATAATGAAGATACTCCTGACCAACCCCTTTTAAACTTGCGTCGGGCGCAAGAGTCATTTATCCCGCCAGGTAAAATAGCAAGAGCGCACAAGACCCGCCCACAAAGTTACTTGCGCTTCGTGCTTGATACTTGCATTTCAGATCGTTAAAATAAGGCCCAAAGTGTTTTCTGAAAAAATGATAAGTTTTCACTGAAAATATCACAAGAGAAACACACTTGTTTTCCCTTTGAATTAAGTTTAATTTAATTCAAATTCAATTCAAAATGTCTCATAACCCCGGGGAACATCGTAAAAACATTAGATTCATGTACTTTCCGACTCAAAAACACCCGCAGCATGTCGAGTTAAAATCCGACAGGGAATGTTATAGGAGCATAAACTAAAGATGACATCTTTCAGATGAAAATTAATAAGTTTAACACATAAGTTTTTATTTTTCTGACCTCACTGGAAGATTTTTGCTCTCGTTTTAAGCATAAACTCACTTCATTTTGGTGATTTTGTCAGACATTCTAATCTTGAGTCATTTTGCATCTTAAGTAAAAGTATCTTGACATAAGAATGTTTAAATATTTGAACACAAGACAAAAATACAGAGAAGAAAATATTTTTGCAGTGAAAAAATGCTATGCTGAATGAAAAATGAACCATTTAAAGAACAATAGACATGTGAATGGAAAATAAAACACAAAATTATGAACAGATGCCAAAAAAATCAAATAAAGCCACGCCTTTCTTTTTTTACAAAAGACTTTTCATTTTAGGACAGTGTCCGGTTCGATTTGTTTTCCAGTAGCACTGAAAATACATTTGTCCATGGTTTTCTGCACACTGAAATATGGAGAGCATCGGGATTTAGTTACGGACTAGTAGCCCACATGGAATACCCAACCCTTTCCTCATAAACTGAGTGTGTGCAGGAAAACCGAAGGTGCTTCACTTGGAATACTAACTCTGTCGGCAAGCTGTCTGTGCAATATCATAAGTTCAACTTGTGTGCTTTGCAGACCTCATTTCTTTAGATAATCCAGAAAAAAAACATGATTGGTTGAAGGCGCTGACTGTTGAAAGCTCTGTTGTCGTTTAAAGGACTCTTGTGAGATTTTACTTGAACTCCTCTGCGATTAAGTTCTCTCGATGTGGACCATTCCATGATATTTTTTAACGACTTACATGTATGTAGCACCTGAGAACAGACCAAAGCGTGCTATTAAAGTCAACATGAATTCAAAATTCACCCCGTTTACCACACTCATATCACACTTTCTGAACCTGAAAGGGGTCTGGGGTGGGGTTGGGTCCTGATATTTGTGCTTATTTCAGTTACTTATAACATTTGAATGGCTAAAGTCAGTATTCAGCAACAAGCTATAATACACTGTAAAAAAGTTATGACAACATACATTTTACATTGCTTTAGCTCATCAAAATAAGCAATTATCAACTTTTTTATACGTTTTACAAGATTCAACTTTTTTTAAAGTCAGTTTAATGTAATTTAAGTTGAAAAGACTTATACATCCAAGTTGATTGTACTTTTACACTTTTACATTGTACAATAATATGTGAGCAGCATGTATGACTATTCGAGCATATCCATCATTTTAGTCATTTTCACAATGCAATCAATTCCTAAAGGATAAAATCAAAAATTTTCTCATTGAATATCCTGTTAATCACATGCGAACATCCTTTCATGTTGACTTTAAACCTTCTCTGGTGAGAATATCACCATTCAGGCTACAATACACACTTTGTTGTGCTTGTAAATGGATGTCAGCTACATCATGGCTGCTATGCTTCACCAACTCCATGTAACAGATGTGCAAGTTTTGTTAGCAGATGGTTCAGGTACAATCTTACTCCGAATTAGTCTCTGTGCTGGTGAATTCTTGTAAAATGACTTCTTTAGTTTTGCATGAGCAGTTTCTACATGCGCAGGTGTGCCCAATGGAATGTTTACCTGTGTGATGGGTTGGGGTTGGTTATAATCTTTAGATAAAAAAAAGATGCTTGTTTCTATCTGGTTTGTTTCGAGTGGCTTGTTTCTTAACGCCCATTCTTGATTTTTGTAGATTTACAGTTTGATGTTTTTTTGTAATATAGTACCGTCTGCTTGGGTGATGCTTCAATGTCTTTGTTTTAGTTTGATGGTGTTATACATTTCCGTCACGAAAACTCAAAAAAGATCGATATCAGAATGTTAAATGTCTCTAAGTCACTTAGAGGACATCTCAAATATGAATATGAAACTATGACGTCATATGTAATGTAATCATTTTAAAAAGGCTCATATGGTCTAGCTAAACCTAATTCCAGTTTTTATTCTTTATGCGCTTAGCTGGATGTATGTATACGATACGATTATTCTTATCAATAAAAGGGGATTTATATCCTGATGTCATCATTTAGTATTGATCTCTGAGTTTGTTTCATCATGGGCTGAAGGTTTCATCCCTGAACCAAAAATGACTTAGCTAGCATTAACCACCTTTATCAGCGATGTAATGTTGGTTGATAAGCTTCATCAGCAGAGTGTTGCTATTAAACATGCAGAGGACAGGCATATGTATGTTATTCAGTCACGTAACACATATGACACTATTTTAAGCCTGTCTGACAAAAAAAGAATGACTATTACTGTTATCATACAGTAGAAACCACAGTTGAAGCCCAGAGCGTTTTCACAATGCTGCATTTTGGTTACAATCACTGTAAAACGCATCTAAACTAGAATGCTAATCATATGCTAATCAAGTTGTTCATAGTATTTGCAGAAGTCATATAGCTTTAATTCATATAGCCTTGACACAATTGGCAATGATAAATTATTATGAAAGAGCACTGAAGCTTTATTTTTCAATCTCAGTCACTCATTTTCTTTCATTAATACCATCACATACTTTTATTTGAACATTTTGCTTTGAAAGACACGCAGTAAAAAGTACCAGGATGGATGTGGTTCATAAAACATTGCAAAAGGACATGCTAACGACATCATAACATTTCTACAATGTTGTAAAATTACACAGGCCTCTTATACTTGCAAAAACATGATAGTAGTTGTATTAACTTGTAGATACCAAATCAAGCATTAAAATGTCCTTTTGTTTTGACAACATACTTGAGGCATAAGCTATAACGATGGGTAGCTCAACTAAAACATTGCTGAGGATTGCTAGTTGTGTTTTTGCTGTTGAGGGACCCAATTATATTAAAATTAACTACTTTGCAGACACTTTCCAAACCAAAACATAAGTGGTAGCCAACACAAATCACATTACTGCCATCCGCCAGGACAGGAAGCAAATTACAAAATGCCAAACTGACTAAGCTAGTTTTTAAAGGGTAATAAGGAAGGAGTGAACATAATTTTCTTATTATTCCTGTACGAAGTATATTATTATTGATGTTTTTGTGGAGTGGAATATTAAGATATTAACACTATAGAAACACTAATGATTTTGGAAGGGACTTTGAATTACAGTAGCATTGATTTAAACCTGTTTAACAACAAAATCGCTATTCCATCCTAAATATAAGATGATAATTTTATTCATGAATAAATCTCAGTTCTGTATTTGTTTAATATTTAATATTAATATTTTCCTTTTAAATATAAATATATTTTCATGATCTTTTAATATATTTATCTAATAATTAAATAATATATGTTATTTACATTTTTATTTTGAATATGTATCCGTATAAGGTAAGAATGTGTGTGTGAGTTTGTGTATATTCTTACATACTTTCTTTCATACTCAAACTGCTTTTGCCGTTCACAGGC